GGACACGTAGGCGCTGGCGATACGACATGCTCAAGAAACGATGTTATTGCACTGCTATCGCCTCGGACATCTAGAGAGCGGACCCGACCAGAGTCAATAGGGAAGAGTCCGAGATCCACCAGGGCTCCGTCGGTCCAGCTATCCCCACTGATGTACAGGCGCGCCCTCACATCGAGCGGCCAACCCCTCGAGCGCTGGAGCTGCTCAGTAAGTCGGCGCTGCCGGAAGAGGCCGTCAAAGTCAAGACAGCTCCAAAGAGAAGCTGTGGAAAGCCCGATACTCCTCCACGTCTGACACACAAGCATAATTTTTGTCCACGAAAGATCGAACAAGCCGTTCGATGCCGACGCGTAAATATGAAAGATGTCTGCGAGAATCTCGGGAGGTAATGCAGAGATGGGGGCTGCCAAAAAGTTGCGATACGCTTGTAGATCACGTAGAGCCTCTTTCTTGCGTTGGATCTCCAGATCAAGCAGAGAGGTGAGATGTCGGGGGTTGGACTTCAAGTCGAGGGCCTGTACAAGCTCGGGTAGCGCGCTGGGTACACAATCAGTACCGCTGCATATGCATGTGCGTCGGGCACGCACGTATAACCAACAACCAGCGACTTCAAGTAATCATGGTCCATGGATGCTAGCCAGTACTGATGGAAGGCGCGCTGGTGGGAGTACGCGGCAAGATGCGTGGGACCACAGATTGCCGCGCTCGGTCGGTTCCGACCCCGGCGACGCGACTTGTGCTACGCCACCATCATTGTGCGGGTGTACCCCTGTTGGCTTTCTGGACCAGCATAGCGTGCAAATCCTCCTTGGTATCCAGGAGGCGTACTTCTACTTGAGCTACCTGAATCGCGCATCACCTGTTGATCAGTACGAGAGCTCCTACACACCATAACTCCAGGGGTATCTGCTGCTCGTTTCGCACGCACGGTTGCCTTTAAACGTGGACAAACAATGCTATCGCCGCTTCCAGACACCGAGCTTCGTTATCCTGCTCTTCCGTACAACCCTGTGCGAAGAGCTGCCAGCTTTACGCAGCGTACCGCAGCGGGCGAGATATTTTTGAAGCGACCAAACCCTACACACGATGTTGAGAATCTAATCGAAGACTGGAAACAAGCACTCCGGGAACGGTCACCTGGATCTGTGGCAGATAATCAGAAGCTGCTGCATTTGACAGACCTAGTCAATACGGCTTTTGTTCTTGGTCGTGTATGCCGAGACTTTGACGTGATTCTTGCTCGCGAAGACGTGGACAAGATCTACAAAGATCTTCTCATGGAGGAAGGATTCTGGGATCAACCTGTAGTAAGTGGCATGTCATTCCAATACGCTCAAGGCGGCTTACTTCAGTCCTCGTTGGCAGGTCTTCATTGACGGCGTGATTGAAGGACTTATGCGGGTCGGCATCGTCGCTCATCGGAATGCGTTGCCGGAAAACCCACGTTTAAGAAGAACGGTCCTACTTGATAAGATGCTTAACGATGCGCCGTCGTTGTGGCGCCACATTTGGGATAACCGCAGGCTCATCCGCTGTCATACTCGGACCGACCATCAATATCCCGAGGAGATCGAGCCTGGCCAGAAGGCATACACAGATCCGATGACACTACTTGCTATACAATATCAGCAGCTTTACTCGGCGAAGTCAGTAGCAGACTATATTCTCCTTCGAATGAATACCTTCTCATTGATACCGTCGCTGGCATAGGTTTGGCCCTAATCACAACGCTCCTTTGGACAGCTTCATTCCACATGTTTCGCTATACCTTTGGGCACATGTCTCCGCTGCGAAGGACGAGCCAGGTCATGACGATTACGCCCATCGCCCCGTCGTTGCCATCCTAAGGGAGATCTCTGATGCCTCAGAGAATGGCCAAGAGCGACTGGACTTCCTGAATGAAGTCGTTCCTGTTATTGGTGCCGATGCCTTGGTGTCGCGCTGGCATCAACTTTTCGAAGGCGTCAAGGCTGGCCGCATCGACCCCAAACACTTCCTGGAAGTCGGTAACCTGATGCAAAGCCTCGTACGCAATCGCGACGTTGTTCACAGCTGGTCCCAACGCAACATGTTCGCGCTTTCCGTTCAGATGTCCACCAGTTTGGATTTGCCTGTACCAGAACGACAGACCGTCTGGATCACTCTGGCCGGTGTTGCACTGTGCGTTTCTTATGCATGGCACACAACATTCCAATCCTCATCGCGATTCATTCTAGGCTTCTAGGGGACACCGCTCATATCATGCTTGAGCAAGACGAGTTCAACGCTTGCATCCGTGCCGAGGATTATGTGGCGCACTTGGCGAATGGCATATATCTTGCAGACGGACGGCCAGCGGTGACAGGTAAGCCATTTGTACTTCTGACTGATCGGTATCTCACAGACATCTGCTTGCCAGACATGCTGAACCTACTCAACGAGGCCATCGATTGGATAGGCGGTGCTATCATGGCGTCTAACAAGTCAGCGACTCGTCGATATTTCGGCAAAGAGTACGAAAAGAGTGCGCGTGGTGCCATGCGCCACGAGTGGTATCCCGGCTTATTAGCCCTCCGCTCCTTGAAGCAGCGCCTGAACGAGCCTACGACAGAAACAAAGGGGGCCACTGGTGTAATAACCCAATGGTACATGGTCGGAAATATGCTGCTAGGGATTAATGAAGCCAAGGAGCGCAAGCGCCACGAGCAGGAAGCGCCACGACGTTGCTCGCGGATGGCTTGTGCGTATCACAGGCGAGTACCCGAGCAGGCTACGGGGATCGAGATGAAGACGTGCAAGGGTTGTGGGGAAGTGAAATACTGCGGGCGCGAGTGTCAAGTAAAGTGCGTGCAGTGCGATACTCGTTCGTAACCTGATCACTCATGACTCTGATAGGGATTGGAAGGAAGGAGGGCATAAGCAGAAATGCGGAAATCGGATCAAGTAGTTGTGGAATGTATAGTAGTATCATCGTAGGATCGTCTGAACTGGAGAATTGTGCCAGAAGTGAGCGTGTATGTATGGGATGGTAATGCGCGCCCGCACGCATGGTAGACCCGCTACCGGTTTGGTGTTCCGATGCTTGGTCTCAAACCGTCACTCGCGTACGTGCTCGTTATCTCGCTTTCTGCTGGCACCTGTTAGCAAATAGCCTCTCAGCAACTCAAAGTCACTGACCTTGGCTCCTTCCATTGAAGTTCGTTGCATCTTTAGCGGCCCGTCTCACCACTCTGCTGCGCTGTCGGCACTGCCTGCCCAACAATGTGCCAACAAGCAGCTACGCCCATCATGAATGCCGCAGCCAAGTCTGCGAGCTGTCGAGCGAATGATTAGCCCTTGGCGCTTGAGATTTATGCTACGATATTACGCACCTGCCTCCGGGCCTTAGCTCTGTATTCCAGCGCAGTCTTGCGCAGAATCCACGTCGCGAATCCATCCTTCTTGCGGACGTTTAAGACATATCGCGAGGTGGTGCCAGCAAAGTCAGGACCAACGTCCGGGAGAGCCTGCATATCGTTCATGACTGCGGTCCACCGAAACTTTGCGTCGATAGCCTCCCAGTACCAGATCTGCGCTGAACCATTCGAAACATGATTGATGTACACATCGCCGATGCGTGCATTCGTGGATAAGAAGTCGGGAGGGGAGAGTTGCGCGGGGCCGCTCGATTGGTAGTAGTTCACGGGATGATAACGAGGGTCGCCTAGCGCAAAGACCATCTTGAGATTCGCGCTCTTGTGCTTCACGGGTAGATGGTTGTCCTGCCTGCCGGTGATGTGAGCTGGCGTTTCGTTCTGAGAATGGCGGGTAACGCACTGATACTCCATTACACCAGTTTCCTGCTTCAATTGCGCCGTCGACGCAACGGTGGGGCACGGCGCAATACGCGGTGATTGCGTTCCTCTGTTGTGAGTGGCATCGACGACGATGATCTTCGGTGGGTCGGTGTGCGCTGCGTTGCCAGCAGTAATGAAACGCGGCTGCGAGTTAACGTTCAGTTGAAGAGGCGGCTCGTGAGGATGCTGAGCGCGAGGGAGAACGATCTCGGAACGCGTTGAGTCGTAGCCGACACAATCAAGAATATAGTGATAGATACGCGAGATGATCTTTGCCCCAGCATATATCGGTCTTAGCAGCAGCCTTTTCGATAGCACTAGGAGCCCGTATGCGAGCAACAGCAGAACAGCGAGCACACAAGCGAGCACACAGAAGGCAGTGACAATGACCTGGAGATCGGACATAAGTGTAGGTACGTTGTCGTTCATGGTCAAGCAGCGGTGAGTTGAGTGGCATGATCAGTAAAGGTCTTTATACCTCCGGCAAGCTCCAGAACAACAAAGGAAGAGTGACGACAAAGGCGGGAATGATCAGGCTAGCGCTGCGAGCACCTTCTCGATTTGTACTGCGAGAACCCCCGTCGTCTTCTCGTGTATAGGCAGATCCTTGACCGCATGAGTTGAAAGAGAGATATCCCAGAGTAAAATGAACACGCCGGGGCCCGCAAGATAGTGGTGGTATATGGGGAAGACAACTACTCACACGCGACGCGACGCCATTCGAGTTCGGCTTTCGGCCCGGACCTCCTTTCTTCTACAGTAGTTGTACATCCATCATCTCCGTCTCCTCTTCCTCTCCTGAGTCTCCAACCACATATACCTACTCCACCAATATAAACACCACTATCAAAAGTCATCACACGTCTGCAGTACAATCGTAATTCAGAATATGCTTTCGCGTGTTAGACCCACGCGCTCCGCGCCACATCTTCGTTTCCAACTGTCGCGACTCGAACGGTGTGCTTACTTGACTAGTGTCCCTGCTTACTTGACTAATGCGAGGGTGACACAAGGCTTCTAATCATGGTAGGTCCTCCGAGCCGGCATCGATTCAGCGACCTCGGGACGATTGCATGCAAACATATAACAGCCCCTGCGCTCTTCCATCTGTGCTATTGAGGGTGATGGTGGCACAGTGCAAATCCTCCGCGACAAAGAAGAAAACAGTCGCTCAATGAAGTTCAGTCCTTCGAGCCGGCGTTGATCCAGCGACCTCGGGATTGATATGCATTTCGAATGCGTTTGGCAGCCGTTACAGTCCCGCGCTCTTCCAGCTGAGCTATCGAAGGGGTTATTGTGTTGCAGGAGGTATGCGTTCATTGCCGCGCGAAGATTCGAATATCGAGGTTCCGTTGCGGGGTGAGGCGAAGATGCAGTGCGATTGGAGGACGAAAGCGAATAGACAGCAAGGTAATTGAGAGCACAGGGACTTGTACAGTGAAGAGAAAAGAGGGGCACGGATAGTAGAGAGGAGCAAGATAGCAAGATGGAGCGGAGCAAGAATAGCAAAGAGAGCAGCGACACAGCAGGATGACAACGGGACGAGAACTAGACATATAGCGTCAGTTCCTGCACGCACAGCAGTCTACCACGACGTACCAGAATCACGAACTTTACTCTTCCTCGTCCTCACTATCTCCAACATCGATCCACCTCCTCCCGTCCTGCGGACGCACAGGCGAGCCAATGAGGATCAACGGCTCTTCAGCCTCCTCCGTCACCACAGATACTGACGGGTTCGAGGATGTCGCAGGATACAGAATGTCCAGCTCGACGTCCGATGTATTCTGTGCGGTGGAGACGGGGGGCACGGCGGTAGGCAGAGGTGGGCGAGTGATGGTCGGACCGGGAGGGTGCACAGTCGAGGAAGATGTACGAGTGATGCCTATATGCGCGTCAGTCATGAGTTATAGCGCATATAAGCGTCAAGTCACGTACGAGGCGGCGGAGGTAGCGAAGGTGCGATCCCAGGCCCCGCCAGTACACGGCGAGGGGTCACGCGCGTCGTAGGCAGCGTCGTACGTGGCGGAACGGAAGGCGCGGGCGTGAGGAGAGACGTGAAAGCTCGTGGGGCTGCATGGGCGAGCGGGCTTGAGGCACGCGGCTGGATGGGGCTTGAAGGTGCGATGAACGGACTGGCGCGTATGAACTGTTTAGACGTAGATGCGAGTTTGAAATCGGTCGTATGCGGTGGTCGGGTGGCGGAGCCCGGAAGTCGGATTGCAGAGCCGGGTGCGCGTATCGCTGAGCTGGGAGGATGCGCGGCTGTGACACGGCCGCGCCGGGGTGTTTCGAACATGGCGGGCGCCAGATGAGTAGCGGCTCCTGTATGCGCAGTGGTGATAGGCGCGTTGATGGAGGGCGAAGAGGTTGGATGGGCCTGAGCGGATGAAGACGCGGTCGGTTGATGGGAAGACTTGGCCGATGCTGAGCTCGTATGGGCGCGGAAGGAGGAGACGGAGCTATGGCGGCTGTGTGCGCGCTGGGCAGACGCAGGGAGCGGGAAGATGGTCTCAACATCGCGCCTGGTCGCTGAAGAGGCGCTGGAGGGAGTGCGCTCTGTGCGAGTGGCCTCAAGCTTGCGCCTCTTGGCTGGGCTCTTGGCAGCGGGCTCCACGAGGTCGTGCGGGCGCTTGGGCGATGACGAAGACTGAGGGCCAACCGAAGAGCTTGAGGGGCCACTAGAAGTCGTACTGCGCGGAGATGAGTTGGCAATGGTCATCATACCCCTGTCGACGCGGAGGGAGAGCGCGTCGATGGTGGCGGGCAGGGCGAGCAGCGGGGTGAGCGAGGCTAGCGTCTGCGCGTGTCGTTCCTGCGCCCGGGTCTGCTGCTCTACTAGTACGCCAACAGACTGTAATATCATCAGCAAGAGCGATCCATAAGGGCATTGGATGTATGCGCACAGTCTGAAGAGCGGTGAGGATGTGCGTCTGCGCGTCGACGAGCTTGCTCAGCCCGCTGACGTTCGCAACCAGCGTCTCCACGTCCTTTGCCTGGGCAGGATCGCCTACGGTCTTAGTGATCACTCCTTGTGCGCGGTTCACTGCGAGCTATCAGTACCCGTGACCAGTCTACAGACGCATATACGCACCGGCACCGACGACCTCGTCCGCCACCTTCTCCCCCGCGCCCGCGCACTCTTCCCGCACTCTCTCAACCTCTACACGCACGCGCCGCGTCTCACTTAGCAGTCCTTCAGCAGTCTTCGCAAAGGTTTCGAGTCGTGACTGGGTGTCGTGCAGGAGGATGCGCGTCGCGGCTTTGGCTTTGTCCGCAGGTGTCAGGTCCGCGCGTGGAGGTGGTGCGGTGGGAGGGCGCGGCCGCTGGAGGATGTGTGCCCAAAGAAGCGAAGAAGGGACTGCGCATTGAGCGGGTGCGGGCGAAGAGGCGGACATGAAGATCGTCCTGGTGGGTAAAGGAAAGGGACGTGTCGAATAAAGAGAAGACTGGAGTGATTGACGTACTGGAGACATCGGCCCGATCCTCCATGTACAGCCGCGGAGCGCCCATGCGCCTGCTTTCGAACTACATCCATCTATCTTACCTGACGGCAGTGCGCACTGCGCACGCGTCCGACTAACTACATGTAGCATTCGATACACGGAGATCCAATGGGGGACGATGGCCCGATGTATACGGCTCATCATACGCCACTGCGCACTCAGTCGATCTTGTCAGCGTAATCGTGCATACGGTTCGCATGCCCTGTGTGTACTACTTCGAGCGCGAATTGTACCCCGCCGCGGCTAATCCGCATAACAGTGTACACTGTGTGCGAACCCGAGCCGACCACGCTTCCTATCCTGCCTCGCGTCGTGCGTTCGGAGACGTTTTATGACTTGAGCGTAACTGCTATCCTGCCCGACTTCAGGTAGTGCGACAGGAAACAGACCTTGATAACATGTAAACTTAGCCGACATGCCTATTGCACCGACCTGCGGCCAATCTTTGAACCAGGGTCATCCAACCTTAATCCGAATCGTGGGCTTCTGCCTATATCACCACTGCTTCGGAGCGAAGGCACTTCGAAAGCAGATCTGACGTGCCCGCTGACTATAGGTTTCCTTGCGTCTAGATGGTGGCTCGCAAGTGCGTGCCACGCTGGTTGTTGAGACGCCTTCTGCTCCCGCGCCTCCGAAGATGTCTCAAAGCAGAACTAATCTGCACGCTGATCTGGCAGGGTTATACGGTGGTAGACGTACACAGCTGCTGCAAGGAGCAGTGCGCGTCAAAGGTAAGTCGATGCCTGCTGACTTGTGGAATAGCGTCAAACACGCTCGCAGTTCAGCTACCTTGAACCGCCGCGTATTGAGGCCATCCCATGCCTAAAGCGTTTGAACCAGATGTGGAAATATGGGGTTATCCGCGCGGATCTGAGCACGATGGCCGATGACATCTGAACATAGACACACGTGTGCTGACTATTTCAGACCATATTTGTGCATTTCGATCCCAGGACGCGCGCTGAACGAGTTACGCCCGCCTAGCTAAGTCGAAGCAGGAGTGCATCGGTGTCCTGATACGTGCAACTGTGTGTGTGTAGTGACTTCTCGAGGTGGACGGCAGAAGTCGCCAACTGGACTCACTAGTGATTGATACACTCCCTGCGGCGCCCCGCAGTGGCATATAAACACGGCACATCTCAACGGACACACCTTCACTCCGCCGTTTTCAAATTCGACCAATGGCTGCTCCGGCCTTGCTCGTCGATCTGCTCTCCAACAGCATCATTTCTCAAACTTTTGGAATCGAGGCTGCAATCAGTCGGTGTATCCGGTTTGTGCGTCCTGCATGCACACACCTCTTGGACTACCATCACTACCTCTCGTACTCCTTCAACGTGATGCCTCTCCAAAACTCGACGACGAGAGCTATTCTGTTTCTTGCATACAACGAGCTTGAGGTACAAGACGTCGACAAGATCTGGGATGGGTTCACTCCGTGGTGTGTGCTTGATATGGTTACCGAGTATCCAACGCACATTATCCCGTCCCGTCTCTTCATTCCTTACGCTGGAACACTGCGCTGCGAGGGCGTACTAGAACACACAGACATGATTCCGATCTTCCTCGACGAGTGGACGGCGGCGTAGGCGTGCGCATTACCATGGACGAAGACCACCATGTTACTGAGTGTAGCACGCGCATGTCTAGGTCCTCCCTGAAAGTAGTTCTCAATGTGAGCGCATGTCTTCTTTGTATGCATATACAGCTCACATGCAAGATAGCTACTCAATTACTTGCCATACGAAACACAGATTCAGCTTCGTTCGTCAGCCATTGGAAACATTTCGGTGCGGCGCTTAGCGCGCCTAGTCGCATCGAAGGTCATATGTTGCCTGAAGGTGCGCCATTGATTGTAACTTCCTTCCGTGAGCTCACCTCTTTTGCGCAGAGAGCAGAGGAACAAAACGCGACGATGAGGCACTGGGAAGCCCCGCGCTGGGTGTTTGGCTCGAGTTCAGGTCTCATCAATGCCGCAGATGTTGTACTTCTTGGAGTCGTATTCGTGTTGCCGGGCAAAATCACGCCGCTGTTACAGGTCCGGGAAGACGCTAGTGAGTAGCGTTGCGCAATTGTGTGCAAGCCTTGTGCTCATTTTAGCAGTGTTCACGACGTAGGCTGGAAAGCAGACTCATCCCCCATCTCACCTTGGCGTTGCTTGGAATGAGATGTAACCCATGACTTTTTATACATGTCATTCAGGCGTACATGATCTGCAGAGTATTCTATTATGTAGTTTCTTCCTATGTGCGTACCTCGCAGATACCAGGGAGTAGTATGCGACTATCTGTTCGACATCAGGGAAACGCCCCCCCAGTCACGGCCGCTCAGGGCCGCTCAGGGCGCTTAGCGGCCGCTTAGCGCGCTCAGCAAGCTCACGGCTGCTTACCAGCGCTCACCGCTGCGAACGAACTCATGAGCAGCTCAGGAGCAGCTAACGAACTCACGGGCAACTCAGGAGCTGCTCATGAAGCTGCTGGCAACCACTCACAGGTGCCTCGAAGGCTAGTAGCTAACTCGTGGTTGAGTCGCAAGCAAGCTTTATTGTAATTACTCACTACTCACACCTTTTGAGACTGCTCCGAAGGCATTCAGCAGTGCTTGCCGCAAACGTAGTCACTGTAGCATGCCTTACTAATTGAGAACTTTACTTCGCGCATGATTTAAAGTTATATAGCTCATTATGTACATACTACATTGCGAGGCGAGAAGTATTGTAATCTGTGCTACACAGAATTAAAGTTCCTCGAAGCCCGCCCACCGCGACCGGCATTCACGCTGAT